ACTTTTCACCCTGCATGTACCTGAGCTAAGCGTCAAGAGAGGCCGAAACAATTTGCGGTACTCATTCGGGAAGTAAAGCCAGGGAATAAAAAGGACTCGCGTTGATGACGGCGCAGAGATACAACTATTCGTGCTTGATGGATGCCCGTGTTGCAGCTGCAAAATTGAAGGCGCCTTGGCGTGAGGCGTGAGCTCAAAATGTTGTTCAAATTGTATACAACGCACAGTGCAGTGTCCAATGGAAATAAGTCAAATTTTCGAACATGTAAAATGAAAAAAGTAACAAGATATACGAAAAATGGGGACATTGGTGGTATTATTTTCAATGTTTGTTTACTGATTTGCATCGAATTGGCGTGAGGGGAGGTGATGAGATTTAAGCTCCGCGCGCGGTGACTGGTAGCCGATGACGCGCAAGTGTTGTGATAGCAGTGATCAAGGCTGATTGACACGGTACCAAATGTCCGGTTGGTGATAAAAATGGCTACAAATACTCCTGGTAAGTTATTTAATTCAGATTTAACAGTAAAAATTATTTTTTCAACTTCTAAACATTACTTTTGAGCACGTTTTTCGATGGTACTCTAATTTAATATTCTTCCCTCATATTTAAACTTTAAAGACGTTTTTAAGAAAAACCAAAAATAACCTATTTTCCTGACAAGTGATAATGATTGCAAATTTCCTGTAGATTCTGAATTTTCTACTCCCATCTGCGTCTGGCTGCGAATAATAAAGTTATATCGTTTTTTCTGTCTCAAGGTCTCGCTCTGAAAAACTCTGATTAGTCCCGGCGCCTGGTAAGTCTACCTGAAATTTTGGGTACACAGCGATTTTTTTGGCTTACTTTATGTTTTTGGGGTCGCTGAATCCGAATCTGAAGTTTCCTACCGCGTATATGGTGAGCATTTTCCGCCATTTTGAAAAAATGGCCTAAAAAGGCCTTTTTTCGCAGTTTTTTTTATTATATAGCGGCTGCGCATGAGAAAAAGTCCCGGATTTAGTTAATGATTTGAATAGCTGAAATAATTTGGAAGAAAATGGTATATGAATATGCTAAGTATGCTCAAAAATTGAGGAACCTCGGATTTCGGAACTTTGGAACGCTTCGGAACTTGGCTGCGACCGCGGCGAGCCGGATCGCGCGTTGACGGGTGCGCCGCGAAAACGTGAATGGGCGCGATGTTCACGATGCTGGATCTTTCTCAATTTTTAAGCAAACCTAGCATATGTACACACCATTTTCTTTCAAATTATGTCAGCTATTCAAAACATTAACTCAATCCGGGACTTTTTCTCATGCGTAGCCGCTATATCAATAAAACCGCAAAAAAGGCCTTTTTAGGCCATTTTTTCAAAATGGCGGAGTATGCTCACCAGATACGCGGTTGGAAACTTCAGATTCGGATTCAGCGACCCAAAAAACATAGAGTCAAAAAATCGCTGTGTACCCGAAATTCCAGGTAGCCTCATTTTTAGCTACCAGGCGCCTGGACTCGATCTCTTCGACTTGTGGACACGGGCATGAACTATTCGCAAACAAACGTGTCTCAGACGAAGATTTGACAAAATGTCGTGTATTTTTTATGGATTTAGTGTATTTTTTATGGATTTTTTGTATTTTTATGGATTTTTTGTTTTTATCTTTCTTTTTTCTCTTGTCTCTTGTGAAGTTAAAGTTTGCTGTAAATTTTCGGTGATGTTTTACTGTGCTGAATTTTTTATTTTTTGAAATGCCTTTTCCTTTTTATTAAAGACTTGTAATATGACCAAATCCAAGTGTTCGTCCTTTTTCTCATGCTGATCCTCGGAAACCTCATTATTTTATAGTGTATATTTGAATTTTTCGGCTTTCATTTCACGCAGCATTGAAATTGAGAATGAAAGAAAGGATAGACCTTAGTTTTGTTAGGCCCAGAGTTAAAAAATAAAATATGCATCGTTAGAATCTGTAAGTATACAGTCGATTTTTGGAGCGAGCTTGCGTGAATCTATACATTTTAATCCTTGAATTATTGCTAAAAAAAATGCTTTTTCCAGGCGCGTTGGCAACACTGTATTTAAAATGGAGGTGTTATGAGAGGGCCAGATATACCCTCGTAAGCCTTATTAGTAGTGATTTCAGGTTGGTTTTCTCTCTTTTACCCACAAAAATAATGTACTCATGTCATTAAAATAAGTGGAAAAATAACGGCACATTTGGCAAAATTTGGCAACACCATACTCAATCATTTGGGGAATTTTGGAAACTTTGACTTTAATACAAGGAAGAACATGATGAATACTTAACACTGTCAAAATTTCATTTGATTCCATGCATTATTCGATCAGATATGAATTATTTCCCATCCGCCCATAAGGACACTGCACTGTGCAACGTACAATTTAGATAGCTGAGCCCAAGAGCTGAGTCAGGATTATCATATTTTCAAACCGCAGAGACTGCCATAGTAACGCTGAACGTGCGATTTAACTGAATTAGATTATTGTTTTTCCGATGCTCAAATTAAAATTCATTCAATGGAGAATTTGCATACAAATGTTTTATTTCTTCGTCTGAAAGTGCTTCAAGAGCGGATTTCACAGTACTTTTATACTTTTTTCTGATATGGGGAATAGTATAAAAATAGATTTAAAAGTGAGAAAATGCAACATTTAGTGACGTCATCTGGCGGCATTTCCCATTTAAACACATGTATTTTAGCAGATTAGATCATTTCGTCACATCTTTTCCAATAATTATTCAATTCATGAACCAAGGGTATCCTCGTATTCAGTTCACTCAATAGTTTCCACTTAAACACGAAATTCATCAAATTTCAGACATCTGCAAATTCTCTATCTTGCTTAGGAGTTGATTTCCGTAATTTCAGCTGCGTATCGTACCTATTCTACGTGAAAGTGTGGTCAAGAAAAATGTATGAGACTGTTTTTCGTACCTTGTCCAGTGGTCCATCAAAATCAAATGGAATTAAATCAAACTAAATCAAATGGAAGTATCTCCTCTGTGACTTGGTTCGATGTCTATAAAGATATAGGTTCCCTGCAGAGGCCACCTAAATGTTGGATAGGTCCAAGCCCTGCCTGGATCACAAATATTTATAGTTTAGCGATTCTAGGGCTAGCGCTAACCCCAAATCTAGGTGACCCCATTTCAAAGACATAAAGACGGAGGGCTAAAAGCAAAAAATGAAGCTTCTTTTCAACCACCTCTACTATTGGCTAGAGGATTGGCGGCGAAATCGGGACAAGTTTGAATTCAAATATAGGGCGGGAACTGAGTAAAATAATTGCGGAAACAAAGTATTCTAGGTTGATTTTTGCCCAAATTCACTTACCCACTCATATTTCTTTAACTTTAGGTTAGCTTTGGTCCGTCGTCGACCGATTAATTTCATTTGGGAGTGACGGTCATCTAGAACTGTAACGACCTGTTTGAACCTGCAGAACCACCATGAGCAGAAGAAAAACTAACTTTATCTGAGATTACTGCCTGTTACTGAGCAAAAGTAGGTGTATTATATTAGGACGCAGACCGAACTTTCTTGATATAATCGTTTTAGGCATTTAAAACACGTTTAGAAGAAGAAATAAGGAAAAATCAAGAGGACAAGTTCAAATCAAATTTCCGTTTGCCGCCATGGATTCCCGCGCTCATTTACACACTCACACAAGCACCCAGCGCCAAACCAGGCTTCACTTTTTTCCCGTGCTTTTAGATACGAGCACTCCGTCTTTATGTCTTTGCCCCATTTGACCTACTTCTTCCGGCATACGCAGAGGGCGGGATTGGTGCATATCCGGAATACAGGTGACGTCATTCCAAGACCTAGCTTGATTCTTCTGATGCAGGAGAAAATTCTGCAAATAGCGCAGATAATGTAACCCCTACACAAACTCGACACGTGCAGTTGTAAGGTTAGAATCAATGCCCTTCCACTCATTGCGTATTGCAATTACCACTAAGCCTCACATAAACAATCGTGAGTAATCGAGTCTTTCACTTCCACAAGTAGGTGGTAGGTACTCTGGAAGGCCAAAGCTCCTATGATAAGTAAGCCGAGCACTCAGTCCCAGTTTAATTTACTACTGCGTGGATTTATAGGATTATTGAGTTTTTTTCCTATTCTTATTTATTCGTTGATAGATTCAAGCTTTACGTCATAAGACCTCAGAAATAATGAGAATAATGCCTTGGCCTTTTTTTGGAAAATAGACCATGGACTCACGTAGCATATTCATTGTTGTGCGCCCTCGTGTTAGCATTGGTGGGTCCAGCAAATTGGCAACATTGTTTTTCTTCATCTAAACCTATGGAAATGTATCGATTCTTGGAGGGACGAGGTGCTAAGATAAGAATCGATTATTTAACATAGGTTTAAATGGAGGTAATCCGGTGTTGCCAAGTTGCTGGATCCGCCTTTGCGTGTTAGGAATGAGGATGAGAAGATTGTGCTCAGTAAATCAGCAATATTTCAATACAGCATTTTTAACATATTGCTTGGATTGTAAGGATGTTCCTCATGACATTATGACTGCCAAAATGTTTCTAAAATTATTTTTAAACATTTCTCATTAGAATACTTTTATAAACTTTTCGTTAGTATTTCAAAAAAAATTAGTGGATATAAAATATTTAATAAATTGCTCCGAATCTCAAAAATAATATGAATGAATCAATTTTGGTCCATGGTTCTCAACAATTTATTATCTTTCAAGGGTAATTCTTTACCTGTAATTTCTTTCATCCCATATATATGCAACACGAATTCTTTTTCTATAAGTGCGGCAAGACACAAAAGATATAGTATTTCTCTGATTAAAGGTATATCAAAATAAGCCTTCAGCCGCAAGCTTATGGATACTACCCATTTCTCAATTATTTTCCCTCCTCTTTTTCTGAATAATCAGGTTGTTCTTTTTTATCGGACGTGATTAGATTTAAGTTTCACTCAAAGGCGCCGCTGATTCAGTCAAAAGTTATGGACAGAACACACAGATGATTTTAGATTTTTATTAATAGCCAAAGGTCCGCCACAGAAACTCTTCTTTCGTTCCGTGAACACTAAGCTCTGACATTTGGCATTCTTTGTCGAGGTCAGTGATGGTTGCATTCTCCATAAGTTTTCTGAGAGTATCCAGTCCACACATATTGTTTTGATTATGCTGTTCGTCATTTTCACATCCACTAAAGTTGATGATGCGCAATTCATCATCCTCCGCTGCATTCTTGTACAAAGTCTAGAAAATGTAATCATACATGTAGATAAGGTGATCCAAGGTTGAACGGCCAGACTGCAGAAGCGTGTTTTATGGGTCAAAATAAGACTTTTTTTTCGAAATTGCTTCATCCGAATTTCACATCGAGTAATCAGTGCAAATGTGTGTCTCCCTGACTTGAGAAAGCTAGATGGAAGAAACCAAAGGTGTCATTACGGTGTGTTACGTCAAACCGAATTTCACATCGAGTAACCAGTGCAAATGTGTGTCTCCCTGACTTGAGAAAGCTAGATGGAAGAAACCAAAGGTGTCATTACGGTAGGTTACGTCAAAAACCCGACTTTTCAAAGTGCGATATCTTGGTCAATATTGAACGTAGAAAGTTGCGGTTTTGACAGATCTTATTGTTCTTACCTAATGTACAAAAATCAAGCATAAAAACACGATTTTGTAACCGGCACAACTGACCCATTTTTTGCTGCTATCTCCACGTAGGAAAAAGTAACTTTGTGCCTTTTTTATCCCATACACGGTGCCCCTGAACTCACTTTAAATGCGACTTTGTTGTACATCAAAAATTCAAGTTGGAGGTTGTAGTGGGGTACCCCCTGATGGGTTTTTGGGCAATTTCGAAATAGGTTGTCGGAGCTCCTCGAAAAATAATCGCATTTTTGTGGTTTTTTAGGGGTAAAATAGCAAAATTGGCCTCCGGGCGACAAATTAAACCCCCTCTCCCTCATCCTTGCCTTGACCGATCTGAATTTTTAGTATGTTTTTACCTGGTATAAGATGGGACTTTTCTGAAATTTTCATGCCCATGCAAATTTTTTTGCTCCCGCGGCAGCGTTGCCAAGTTGCGGACTCCAAAATATCGAATTTAATGATAAAATGAAGGTTTCGGAGTGTGATTTCCATTCAAAATCAAAAATTCAAATTGTAAGTTGTAGTAGGGTACTGCCTGATGGGGTTTTGGCCAATTTCGAAGTAGAGTGTTTGAGATTTTTGAAAAATAATCGAATTTTTGCGGTTTTTTAAGGGTAAAATAGCACACTGAGCACGGGGCGGCAAGTTAAACCTTTTCTCTCTCATCCTTGCCGTGACCGATCTGAACTTTTAGTATGTATTAACCTGGTATAAGATGTGACTTTTCTGAAATTTTCATGCCCATACAAAATTTTTTGCCCCCCGCGGCAGCGTTGCCAAGTTGCGGACTCAAAAATATCGAATTTGATGATAAAATGAAGGTTTCGAGGTGTGATTTCCTCCAAAATTTCACGAAAAATGTGCAATCTGAGAGTTTTCGATAAGAAAAGGCATATTTGAACAATTTAGAGTTGCAGTGTTGCCAGCTTTCGATTTAAAATTCGTCAAAATGACCCAAATCGCGTTGCAACCTCAAGCGCTGGATTTTTATTTCGTTCAGAATTGGTTATTACGGTTCTTCTGTACTCTATGCATTTAGGTACCATGAAAATTATGCCATTACTTACTTGATGGGTGTCTTATACAACCAAAAATTTACAAAGCATTTTTAATTTCGTCATCTATTTTTTTTTTTTTTTATGAGGGAGTTTATTTTCAACATTACTCAAATTTATTGTGATCTTTTGTAATTTTTTTATTCTTTAAATTGTCGAAGGTATTTTCTTTACAGTAAGAAGTCTTCTGGATTCGAACTATCCAATCCGCTGTATGAGAGGAGGTCGAATTCAGGGACTTCATAGCGTTATTTGAATCGTTGTTATCCACCCATTTTATTTGTGTTTTTATTTTTCATGTTTTTGGTAAAAATTCGGGGGCAAAATTTCAGATCAGATGTTCAAAGGATTGACTGCAACAGGGATAAGGTTTGGGGGGTGGGAGAAAGTTCTCAAATTCTACTTTCTGGTGATGGAGTAGATTTAAGAACTTTCTGTCAACCCGAACCGCTCGTTTTCCCCCGACTCATCGCTTTATCCGGCCTCTCTTTTTGAGTTAGCTGCACCCATCAAGTAAGTAATGGCATAATTTTCATGGTACCTAAATGCATAGAGTACAGAAGAACCGTAATAACCAATTCTGAACGAAATAAAAATCCAGCGCTTGAGGTTGCAACGCGATTTGGGTCATTTTGACGAATTTTAAATCGAAAGCTGGCAACACTGCAACTCTAAATTGTTCAAATATGCCTTTTCTTATCGAAAACTCTCAGATTGCACATTTTTCGTGAAATTTTGGAGGAAATCACACCTCGAAACCTTCATTTTATCATCAAATTCGATATTTTTGAGTCCACAACTTGGCAACGCTGCCGCGGGGGGCAAAACATTTTGTATGGGCATGTAAATTTCAGAAAAGTCACATCTTATACCAGGTTAATACATACTAAAAGTTCAGATCGGTCACGGCAAGGATGAGAGAGAAAAGGTTTAACTTGCCGCCCCGTGCTCAGTGTGCTATTTTACCCTTAAAAAACCGCAAAAATTCGATTATTTTTCAAAAATCTCAAACACTCTACTTCGAAATTGGCCAAAACCCCATCAGGCAGTACCCTACTACAACTTACAATTTGAATTTTTGATTTTGAATGGAAATCACACTCCGAAACCTTCATTTTATCATTAAATTCGATATTTTGGAGTCCGCAACTTGGTAACGCTGCCGCGGGAGCAAAAGAAATTGTATGGGCATGAAAATTTCAGAAAAGTCCCATCTTATACCAGGTAAAAACATACTAAAAATTCAGATCGGTCAAAGCAAGGATGAGCGAGAGGGGGTTTAATTTGTCGCCCCGAGGCCAATTTTGCTATTTTACCCCTAAAAAACCACAAAAATGCGATTATTTTTCGAGGAGCTCCGACAACCTATTTCGAAATTGCCCAAAAACCCATCAGGGGGTACCCCACTTCAACCTCCAACTTGAATTTTTGATGTACAACAAAATCGCATTTAAAGTGAGTTCAGGGGCACCGTGCATAATATGCCTCACGTGATTTTTTATATCGATCCATCTAAAAATTAGAGGAACACTGAAAAATAAATCTCGGTGTATTTACTAAGAAAAGGGTAAAATTACCAGAATTCAGGGTTCTATTTGATCCCAGTTTTTTCTAGGTAAAATTACCATTTATGGAATTGGTAATTTTCCCGAGAAATCTCGGTAAAATTGTTGAACTTTCTCGGTAATTTTACTGGACCTTGGTAAAAACGCCCATATTTTTTATCGACTGTGGTAGAATTATGCAAAGTTACCGGGAATCGATTACCAATAAAAGTGGTATTCTTACCTGAAAAAACAGTAAAAATACCGGTTTTCAGGCAAGCTTACCAGTCTGTCTTGGTAAAATTACCAATAGTTGGTAAAACAAGTGAGATGGTAGAGGCAACAACGGACCTTGGTAAAAACGCCGAGAATTTGTTTTCAGTGAACATTTTGTAAAAAAACGACGATTTTAACGTAGCGCTAACTGAGAGGTAACTTGCCTTGACGAAGTAATTTCCAGCTATCTCGTGTAGCTCAAATATCATCGTGGCACCATACCCGGGCAGGGGCACGGTTTTTCGAACGCCCATACTGCGCCAGAGACTATGGATCGTTAAATCTGTGGCAGAGAATAAATCGAGCAGCCGGTTAAAATCTCCTCCCCGAGATCTTCGCATCTCCATAGTCGACAGAATCTCATTGATCAGGATGCCTGAAAATTTATAAATTTATTTTATTTTTTATTTAATTTATTTTTATTATTTTTGGCTATGATACGTTGTTATGAGTAAAATATTTAACTACTCCTCAAAATGTTTGGCATGCTAAAGTCTTAGTGAAACCAAAAATTATGTATGATCGTTTCGTGTTTCACGGTAAAAACAAATTTTTAAAAACGAAGGCAGTCTGTAAATGACTATGTAATTTGTTCCATTGTACGGAAAAAAAATGACTGTGCGCGGATAACCATCTTGGTTTTATTAATTAAAAGTTGGTGCCGTATACATGAAAAAATTGATAGAATAACCAACGGCATTGTATTGTCCACAACGTCCTCAGGAAAATCAATCATTTTCAATTAGTTGCTATAATAGCTATTACAAATCTGTTCACCGAGATAAAATTGATGGTAAACTGCTCTATCAAGTTGACTCATTGCACCAAAGGAAAAAATAAAACTAACACTGATAGGAGGTAAAAATAGGGCCGCGAAGCAGCCTATTGATGGCGCGGAGCGCCTTCAGGGGGTTGGACCGCGTAGCGGTCAGGGGGCATAGCCCCCTAGTATTTGACTATTTGCCTAGGCATTTGACAAAATGCCTAATTTTACTATTTGCCTGCGACATATCGATTGCAGTGTTTGAAAATTTCTTTCCTCCCCCCCTCCCCTTGGCACCAAGTTTTACGAAAATCCGACGAGCAGGAACCGAGATAGCGTTTTAAGCCACGCCCGCCACCTTGGTTTTTCGAATTTTTGAAATTAGACTAAAAATTCAAATTTAATCGATGGAATGGGAGCCGATGTATCAGTTTAGGCTACGTCCGCCGTCTTAAATTTTCAAATTCAGAAAATTCAACTTGAAACGCGTCATACCCAAAATCTGAGCTCAGATTCGGCTTCTTCGTGAAAAATCGATGCTATTTCATGTATCATATGTTACCATAGCATAAAGAAAAGAGGGTAATCGTAGGCGTAAGGATTCTATCAAAGCCGGCCGGTATGCGGAAGTAGGCACATAATTCAAACGTTTGACCTACGCCGCCAGGCGCCGGCGTCAAGCATTTGGTTCGTCCGTTTCTGAGAAAACAAACTTCTTCTTACTCATCAGCTGACCCACTCCGAATCACCCATGTTGCCACGTCGGCCTGATATGTTAGAATCTACACGCCCACGTTAATCTCTTTCCTTCATGATATGGTGACATATGATACATGAAATTGCATCGATTTTTCACGAGGAAGCCGAATCTGCGCTTAGATTTCGGATATTATGCGTTTTAAGTCAAATTTTCTTTTATCTATTTTAAATCACTCAGGAAAATTTGCGGAAACTCATTAGAATAACAGTGTGTAATCTTTTAAAAACATTGATCAAAAATAAAACATTGACGGTATTTGAATCCATTAATCTCCGAGATAACTTGAACACGGTTGTTCAACGACTTTTTACGTATGTTGTTTTCTCCCGCATTGGTTGTCGGCAGCGTAGCGGCCAAAAGCCCCTGGTACTAATAATAGTTTTTAAAATCAATTTTTTTCTAAATTCAAAATTCCAAGGAAATGGCAGAAATTTATCAATTGTTACTAATGTTTTAATAATGTTTCTTGTCAATTGTATGCTGTCGTTAAGCTAAACATCCCAGGTTTACCAGTAGGCTAGGTATGCACTATATTTAACACCATGTCAAGGCTTCAGTACTTTATAGGGGTAATTTTTTTATTTTCTGTTCTACATAATCTCACTTGTTCAAGTAAGTAGCCTGGGCTTATTTGTCCAATGCTAGAAGCACTTTAGCCAATCATAAAATAATCCTAGTTTGAAAATTTTGAATTGATTCTCGACATGAAAAGAAAAAAAGAAAAAATAGATAAATAAAATGCGGTCTTGAATAACACCGAAGAGATATTTAATAAAGTATAAAAATTAAAATGAAGTGACTGAATTAAAGTAAAAAAATAAAAAAATGCAAGAAATAAAATAAAGTAAGTAACGGTAAAATACAGGGAAGAAATAAAGAATAAATGATCAAAGAAAAATAATATTAAGTAAAGAAAAAACAATAAAGTAAAACATTAAAATTAAGTAAAGAAACAAAGGAAAAAAAATTAAAATAAAGTAAATAAATAAAAAAAGAAATAATCAAAGAAAAATTAAATTACGTAAAGAAAAAAATAAAGTAAAAAATTTAAAATGAAGTAACGAAATCAAATAAAGTAAAAAACTTAAATAACGTTAAAAAATAAAATGAAATACAAAAATTAGAAAAATGAATGAACCAATCTAAGTATGTAGATTGAATATCCTGGTTTTCCGTTCAAATCGAAGCTATGTACAGGTTTTTCGGTCAAGATTCACATCATACTGTATAGCCCAATCGTTAGGGTCTTCGGCTAGGGTTAGATAGGTCCTAGGTTCAATCCCCGCGATAGGTAAAATAATTTGATAGGTCGGATACGACTACAGCATCTCACAGTAACTACTGTAGTCTCATTTTACTCGATTTCGAAATTTATTTACGCGATTAACCCTTTTTCACCATCCCCTAGCTGCGAACCCCGACAATGCACACCTTTGTATTCAATTTTTTTTCTGTGCGTTTCACAAGAAAATACTCCTCTTTATGGCTAAAAACACAAAATATTAGGTTTTCATGATTGATACACTAAACATCCGGATGGGTCAGTTTACCATCTTTGAAGGTCTATCTCAGCAACGTTGTAAGGGACGTCTACGGAGGACGGCGCGCCCGACCAGCAGTGTTGGTGCGAATTACCATCTTTGTTGTCAACGCCTACCTGATCGCGGTTTGAGGTTTCTAACCATCAATACCATCATACATTTGTGCTCGTACCAAAATTATTCTCAGGGGTCGAATCTGGGAATCCAAGATGGTAAATGTCACCTACTATCTGGCTACAAGCACCAAAGATTTTTTTCCGTGTGTAAGTTTACAATATAAAAAGCTTCTGTTTCATTTTTTCCAAGAAGAAGATGAGAACTTTACAAATTGAAATTCATGCAGAATATTCTGCTGTTCTTATTTACGACAAGGGCAGTATAAACGTCCTTTGCATATTACCATTATTCAACCTTCTCTGGGTCGGTGTTTGCGTCATAGATGAGAAAAGTACGTTGATGAAAAAAGCAAGTTCTTCGGGGAACACTTTTTTTGTCCATTCCGGCAGTTCAAAACCAGCTTTGCTCTGCAATCAGAACATTAAGTCATAATTCGAAATAGTGAAGTTACACCTGCCTATACAGACACCCTAAACATTTCAGAAAAACAGCGGTGAAATTGAAATAGTGTCAACTTCTATTATTACCTAATTTATTCCCGCTCCTCTTACATAAGAGGTTACCTAAAAAAAGTGTCAGACATGTTTCAATGTAGATTTTACAACCAAAAAAATGCTAACTTAACCACCCCCGATGTTAAATTGGCTTTCCACTATTGAAAAAAGTGCCAAAATTTGTAAATCAGCAATAGCATTTTTGTCTGTGTCGGATACTGATAATAGACAAAACCAGCAGACCCACCGTGTTCTCTGTCAAAATTTACGTTGAAATGGGGGGGGGGGGGAGGTTGAAAATCCCCAACTCGTGCCAAAACTCCGTCCGCCAAAGGGCACGGTTCCATTAGGGTTGTAATTAAATACTGACCTGTGCGAAAAGTGTATCGTATAGCGCTCCCATCATGTAAAACCCGTCCAAAGATACGTTTAGTTTCTGTCCGATGTTGTCAGAGACGTAGTCCAATACGTCCAATTTCTTTTCAACTTGCTTGAACACGTAACTGTCGAGGGCGTTTTTAAATTCTTCGACGAATTTTTCGCACGGTCTTCCAAATATCAGGAGCATCTGGAATGCATTCCTTCATTTTAACAAAGGTAGCAATAGCCATTACAATCATCACGAAGTATACTTCAGTTTTAGAATTCAGGGACCTCGTGCACTGAGAGAAGTTTCAACACAAAAGTTTGGTTAATACGTTCGAAAGTTTGATAAAACACAAAATAACCTAAGTCTCCGACTGACGATTTCAATAGAAAATGCCAGTTAGTTCTCTTGGATATATTTAATAAAAAATGAGTGATGAATACCAGCGTCGCAATCGGGGGAATGAATTTTTCAAGCCTCTCCATTGTTTAATGCGCTAAATTCGCCGCAAACTGTACCAAAATCAACACAAAATTTGTGTTAGTTTGTGTTTCACTTTCTATAAAAACTAAAAGTAACATAAGAACACAAATATTTTTATCAGTGTGTGAGCTTTTGGTAGTTACCTATCAAGTGTCTGATAAAACACCAATTTTTGGGGAAGCTTTTGAATATTTCCGTCCTAGTTTCCGGCGAATTTCATCGGCAATTCGATATAAAGTATCCAAAAATTTCCAGAAGAAATATTCATAACTCTTTAAAAACATCGACAGCTGAAGTGCGAAATCGCGTATTTCCGTCTACGACGGTGCAAACTTCCAGGCATGCTCATTTTTTCTTTAGAAAACTAGTCAACATAATGCTCCTCTAATGAGAGAATATTCTTAGCAGAATTTCTTGGACTTGACTTGTCTCTGTTTAAAAATTTAAAATAGGAGCGGAAATTCTGTAAAGCCGCAATGGAAATCCGTGGTTTCGCACTTTGGCCATCGATGTATACCTATTTTAAGGGAGAATTTGGACAAATTCGTATGTCATTCGGCAATTTTTCTTGGTATGGAAATTCCTTGTTTCATCGAAAACCTGCATTGAATCCACGTTTCGGGATAAGCAAATTTTCAGGTGAAGAAACGACGATGGGTCAGGGTTACATGGACTGAGGGAGAAAATGATTAACTGATTATAAGGTCTCTCGTGGGTTACCGTTAGTTAGTCTATTCCCCACCTCCTTTGTCAATTGCAACCACTGCTTTTACCTAAAGTATAGAGTCCCTTTATACCCAGAGTTACGATATCTCAATTCTGGTCGGGCTTGGTTGGGCTGAAGGTGACCTAAAAAAAATCCAATTCTGATTGGTTATCTCGCTCATGGAGTCGCAAGAGTGCACCAAGATGGCGGTGGCTCAAATGTAAACAAAAATAATGGAAATTTTACCTAATTGTGATTTATTGAGAGTATAAATTGTTATTTTCATCGCACCAAAATGAAGATAGATTAAGAAATTATTCACAAATCAATCTCATTTTATTTTATTGCAATTTCTTTGGTTAGGTTTTGATCAGTTTTGTTGATGGTGTTGTTTTTGGACGACAAACATCGCAGGATTCCTTATCCTTATCCTTCAATATAGTTCGTTTGGGTGCACACTTTTTTGACACCATGGCCAGCTCATGCCAGCTGATAATCGAGATGTCAAAACTCTGGGTATTAAGGGACTCTAACCTATAGGATCGCTCCATGTACCTTTTGTCTTCTTTGTCAATAGCTTTGTCTATCAATTTCTACTATCAGTCCGTAGAGAAAATCAGATTGTTTTCACTTACGTCATCTTCCTCACGAGGAACAACACTGATTGGGAAGGAGCGGCAGGACAAATTATGCGGTGCATTATCGCCATTCGGAGGATACAGCCCGGTCAAAAGACACTCGGCGCTTTCCACGCACCGATTAAACTCAATAGACAGAGTTCGAACTTGAGAGGCGCTGAACGTTGAAGGGAGAAAACCACCATACCGTTCTCGTAAGAATCGACCTAGTTTTAGTAATCCACGTCTACCTATCTGGAATCAGAAAGAGAATATTCATGTTGTGATGACTTAAGGTTGATTAAAAGGAGGGTAATACACTGACTGAAGTACCTTAATAGAGAGAGTATGGCCACTTCGGTTTCCATCTCTGATTGGCTCAGCCATCGTAGGCTGAATGGAGCCTTCCAGCACCCAAAAATGGCGGACGCTGTAAGTCAATGTAACCAGGGCCGGATTAAGGGGGTGGCAACATGGGCCGCAGCCCATGGCGGCAAAAATTTGCAATTTTTTAAAGTGTAGGTATAAAAAATAAATCGGACTTATAAAATAAAATTACAAACGAGAAAAGGCGACAAAATCTCTCATTTCCTGAGAGTATAGTCATTTCTAATTTTGTCGTCTCTTAGTGATACATGAGACAGCACCCTCAGTAAGTCGAGTTACGAGAGAAACCAAACACGCAATTTGGCCTAGAACGGCGCGACTTAGAGAGAAATGATAACGAGGACTTGAGATGAAAAAGAGAAGCCCTCGGCGCGGCGATCGGCATGTAACACATATTAGCGCCTACAAGACTGCACGAATACTTCACGCATTGCATCAAACACAGTGCGGTCATTGCGGTCAGCGTGAAACGGATAGCGCCTACAAGAATGCATGAATACTTCACGCATTGCGCAAAACACAGTGCGGTCAGCGTGAAACGCAAAGCGCCTACAAGACTGCGTGAATACTTCACGCATTGCGCCCAACACGGTGCTGTCTGCGCGGCGCGGCGGCGGAAGTTAAAATCATTGAACCACATTTATGTTTGTTCTTTCATAATTTTTTCGTTCATTTCTTATGAATGGAAGGCCTTGTCCACACAGAGATAGGTTTACGGAACTTAACTTTCGCGCAAAGTTTCGTGAACTTTTGCTAGTAGTGTTGACAAGGCTTTACCAAAAAATGTGTTCAACACGAGTAAATGCGTCTTATGCACCCCTCCCCCGCTGGCACGTTCATTTGATGGTTTTTTATGGTGTTTCAAAACGAATGAGAAGGGGGCGGCAAAATATAGGCGGCCCATGGGCGGCAAGTAGGTGGATCCGACTCTGAATGTAACTACAAAATATGACTCAAAATGTAGTTTCATTTCCTTATCGCAACGATAAATGTACTCAAACGCAATAATAATTGTGACGTATTTACATTGCGTACCGATTTTATCCAAAACCTTTGTACAGAATCTCTGCAATTCAAAAAAACCCTCCATTTTTAAAAAAGCATCCGTTCTCTCTGTCTTGAATTATAAAGCGGCGCATTCACTGGGAAAAAAGTCGCTTGGATCTAGAATCCAGACTCTTAATAACACTGACGAGAAAAAATACTCTTGATTCCATCCCAATTTCTTGAATTGAAGAGCCAAGCCTCTTGATCCAGGCGGATTTCCTTTTAATTCAAGCAAACAGTCTGATTGAATTAAGAGTAGTTTTTCTTGTCAATGTGTTTAAGAGTCTGGACTCTAGATCCAAACGACTTTTATTCCCATTGCCGAAACCAGCAGCTGAGTTACCTCATTTTCAGTAAACGTAAAGAGCCTTAATTTCTGGGAAGGTTTAAAAATCATTTTCCGTATCTTCAAAATGTTAATCACAGTACTTGTGTGGGCTATAACCTTTCGGAATACGTAATACTTACATTTAGTAGCTCGCCCTCTCCTTCTGGCCAATATATCGTCCTGTTTGCGTACGGATCGCTTGGATACGTAAATAGTGGAGCTCGATTACCGTGACGAAGTACCTGGGAAAAATTAATTGAACCATTCTGTTTTAGAATGTAGGTAAGGAGTTTTATTTAATATCAGGCTCGAAATTGGTTTTTAAACTAAGGATCCACGGCTCTTTTGGTGATTTCAGACCTCAGTAACCCTCGTCTTACTAAAATTAAAGAAAGCATTTTGAGATTTTTGCGTGTTTTTCCACTTTCTATTCATAATTTTTCGAGTGTTTTGGTGAAAATTGTACAGTCTCTTGAAGGAAAAATGGACGACTAAAATAAATAACAGGTGATTTAGGGGCAAACGACTTGAGATATCATATCACTAGTTTGCGGTCATGAGAGGATATGCGCATAAAACGTGCTGATAATAATTTGCGTAGTTAAGAAAAGATGTGCCTAGAGTTTCAGCCGCTTTCCACTTTGTTGATAAGAACCAGGAACTGTTTGTCGAATTTGGAATGACCATCAAATAAGGTAAAGAAGGGGTGAATTTAGATAATCAAGGTGAATTTGGAAAAAATATTTGACCGTCTACAAGAAAAAAATAACCTATCGAGAAATTGAAAAATCGATGACATTTATTGTGTATCTTTTTATTATGAATCTGTTGGCACATAAATAAACCACACCCCTCGTATTTTCTTATTTGTGTTAGACTCGAGCGTGGCTCTAGACAAAAATTGTTTTTTGAAAAATTTCCCTCCGTGAATCAAAGTACCTTTGCCCGAGAATGATTCTATTTTTGGTACCTGAAAGTATAAGTACTTTTCCAGTGTCACTACAAATATCGACAGTGAAACTACCAGACCACAAATCTCGTCAGCGGTGTTTAAAAATCTCCGCTCCTGTTTTATTTTTTTGAAGGAGAACAAATCAATACTATTTCTTGAACTTTAAGAGAAGAAAAAACAGGGAAGTTTTCAAAAATTAACTGTGAGTAGTTTTCCATGTAAAAAATGAAGTATGACTGGAAAATCCACAGCGTCGCAAACCGAAGTACGTGGTCTGGTACTTTCGCCGCCGATATGCGTTTTATTATGAAGCTGTTGAACGGACGGCACGTTGTCTGGTAAATTTCTATTTGTATTGTTAAATAGATTTTTCCTGCTTTTAGTGGCTTCCAATTCTAAAAATATTAACAGGGATTTGAGACGTTCCAGTCGTAATTTATGTGTCACGCAAGTTACAATCCTCGCATTCATACCTCTGTTACAGGGATCATCTTCGAATGCGGGTTTTCTTCAAAAATAAAAGAAAAGTTGAACTCAAATTTCTCCAAATTCGGAGAATCAAAGTACATGATGTCGTCGGTATTTTCACGTAAGAACTTATCTCGATACCCGTATGAGCCTCAGCGGGCAGATTATTGAAATTGATAGACAAAGCTATAGACGATGAAGACAAAAAGGATATGGTGGGCTCCTATTGGTGGAAGCGGGTGGTCGCAATGGGTGAAGGAGGTAAGTAATAGACTAACTAACGGCAACCGACAAGAGACCCTACAGTTAGTCCATCATTTTCCCCCTTAGTCTGCAAGAATCACCAATTGCAACAAGTAGAATCGCTCCATACTCTCTATGTCTTCTTTGTTAATAGCTTTGTCTATCGATTTCGATAATCAGCCCGCAGAAAGCATGGATTCAGATAGCTCTCGTATTGAAATACGGTCAGAGGAACGACAATATATTGAGTGCAATAAGGATGGATTAACTGATAAATAAGCAATTCTTTTACCGTGACACATCTATGGTGAAAAAAATCAAGTGCCTGCTACATTATCCGGTTTTTCAAATACCCGTTTTCCTGAATTTTTCTAAGGGAGTACCTTCGAACGCTTTTTTATCCTTCAGGGCAGAATTGAGCAAAAGCGCTTAAAATTGTACGTACCTATTAACGTGAAATAAAATTTGCAACGTCACGAACTGAGCTATGTGGCCTCATTGTTTCACAAACGATTTATAGCGAGCTAATGATCGAATAAGGTATACTTAGGCAAATAATCAAATTATATCAGCATTTTGAAAGAAAAACTTTATGAAAATATCAATTTTTCTTCTTACATTTAACGATGCAAAATTTTTCTCGGTATTTTAACTGTCAAAATTTTAAGAAGTTCTCAAGTATTTCATGAAAAATGAGGAAATTTTAAAACGAATCTACCTTCTTAGTCAAAGCTAAAAATCCTGAAAGCAATAATGAATAATTGAGGGGCTTGGAGAACAAGACGCGTAAGTACAGGTTTTGAAAAAATTGAGATACTAGTATTAATGATTTCAAGTAAAACTAGTCTTAAGGTGATTCGATGGACGCCATATTTTGTGTCTGATCGGCATGCGATATATCGCATCAATTGGTTCCATTTTTTCAGCTACTCGTCATTTTTCTACGATTTTGAGATCGCAATTCTGTTGTCAGGAGACTAAAGCAATCACTGACCAATTTTAACAAAGAAATTCAACGTAATAAAGGCGTGGTTTTTTTAGAGAGAAAATATCGCATCCGATACTGATATCGAAACTGCACTCGAATGCGATATTTTTCCCCTAAAAAAACCACGCCTTTATTACGTTGAATTTCTTTGTCAAAATTGGTAAGTGAGTGCTTTAGTCTCCCGACAACAGAATTGCGATCTCAAAATTGGAGAAAAATGACAAGTAGCTGAAAAAATGGAACCAATTAATGCGATATATCGCATGCCGTTCTGACACAAAATATGGCGTCCATCGAATCACGTTTAATGCGTAATCTGTGCAAAATTCGCTCCCAAATTTCAATTTTTAAGCATCAAAAAATCAGTTTGAACTTCCTCTCAGCCATAAGGATTCATGTATTTTCGAAACTTCAAACAAATACTGTCGTATTTCTAGAAATAGCAAAAACTGATTTTATGCGCCTTGTCCTTCAAGGCCTTTCAATCGTTATAGCATTCGCCAAAAATCTTTTCAGTACATATTTGGAATATTTTCTCATAAAAAACCAGGGAAATCTCAGAATTTCAGTCCAACAGAATATTTGACCATCTTCCATCCCATCACAAGCATATTGACGATGAAACTTCCAAGTAAAACATCTCGGCTTGCAACACACGTTGCAAACTTCCTGTCATACATTATTTTTTGAGTGAAAAACTATTCAACCTTAATTCTTAAAAACTTCCATGATTCGTCTCAAATGTGCAGAGAAAATTCTGAAGGAGTTTCAAGGAATGGGTGCTAATATGTTCTTCTTTAAAAAATAAAATAGGAGCGAAGATTTAAACCACCGCAAACGAGATACGTGGTTTGGGGGGTTTCACTGTCAATCTAATAAAATTTCTGATGCGACTGTTATTAGCCTGCAAAAAATACATAAGGAAGATTTATGAAAATTTGAAGCATATATTTTGGCATTTGAGCGCTGAAATTGGGTAAATTTGATTTAAGTTGCACTTACCACGCTTACGAACCGTAAACTTGATTCCTCTTTGTCTTCATTCGAACTTGATATCCTCATAAGAGTGACGGTTACGATCGAAACGGAAATTAAAACCAAAACGCCGGCCACGAGAAAACACAGTTTCCGGTTTTTCAAGCACAGTTGGTTGATCATGATGATAAACCCTCTTTTAAAAATAGAATTTGCTTCCTCACTTGCCTAAATATCGAGTCAAATATACATTTGTTTTCCTTGCTCCCTCAAAAAAAAAAAAAAAAAAAAAAAATTATTTTATGTTATGTTTAATTATGTTTTACACCTTTATTATTTCACGGGAGCAATGAAATTATTGTCAATATGTGAATAAATACAGTTCGAGCCCCTTTCGACTTCCGTCGATCTTTCGGCTACCAAAATTTTCGAGATCGCAACCTTCCCCCGGAGATTTCTGTCACCTTACGATACACTGAGCGCCAGTAGTTTGTCTTTCTCCTAGAGATGCACTCCTCTGAATGATAATAGAAATCCTCCGCAAACTCACTTCAAGCCTCTTGACTTTAAATCTACTCGATTGATGCAAAATCTTAAGACCGCCCTTAATCCATCTCAGCGTCCTTCCTTGGACATAGCTTTATGAATACGTGTACTCAACATATATTTTGTTGTCAACAAGTAGAGTAGTGATTTCACAATATCTTAAAATTTCCTTAGAAACGTCACATCATGGCGCACAAAGAAACGAGTTAATATGGTAAGTCGGACAAACTTTGGAAACTTTAAAAGCTTATAACTTAGTTTATACGAAACTTTGAAATTTTAAAAGTGGTTCCATTGGTTTTTTCTTGAAATTTTCTTCCATTGGCACCCCTAAAAATTTAAAATGTGACGAATGAAACATCAAAATTTGCAGTTTTAGTAAAATACTTCATGTTCGAGCTCTTCAACTGACTCCGGTGTTCGAAACTCACCTTTGAGTCTTTGGAGCCATGTGGCGCATCATGCCCGATTTTTAGGCGCCATTGAAGATTTTTTAGGGGCCAAATTGACTTTTTGCCTATTTATCACGGCGCATTTAGTGAAAAGTTAGACGCAATATGTTTTTTGTAACATAACTAGTATGTAGCTGTAAATTGGGAAAGACAAAAGCACTAAGAATTAAATTGTGAAGAATAGATAAAGCTTTCACTTGTAGTGCTGAAAATTCTGAGTTTTTTTTTTTTAAATTCAAATAGATTTGTTTTTCTTTCTTTATGTGACTTCTTATGAAAATCCAGATTTTCATGGGCCACGTTGGCGCAGAACCTTCATTTTTAGGTGCCATGGCCGATTTTTTAGGCGCATTTGACGCGTTGGCGCCCGTGAGTCTCTAACACTGACTGACTCGATCCAATGTGCGGCGTCAGGAGGAGATGAGTCAGTGGTGTTGAATAAAAAGTCCAAAAACAGATCGCTAAGTGCTGTCAGCGGCATCTTACATCGGAAAGATGTGTATCGATCTCATTCATGAATCAATGAACTTCTCCGCTATCGGTCCTTCACACATAACCTAATTAAAGGAACTTTCAGAGAACTGCGTGATCGCAGATCGTCGAGACATTCGTGTGATTGGCAAAGATCGGTTCAATGAACGATTTGGTTTCAGCGATCAATCGTAAATAGTCAAGACTTTGTTTCTAAGGCGATTCTACAGCGCAAGGAGGCAAACAACAAGGTATCGAACAAGTCTCGACGAAGTAATATTTCCTTTTTAAAGTTTTCGCAGAAAACGGGTCCTTTACGCCTGTAAGCACAATAAAGCATTTGCAAGTGCCTGAAATTTCATGAATTTCCTGTTTTAGTGGAGACACCTGAGTGAACGGAACACAAGGATACCCTTGGTTCATAAATGGGCCTGTTGCATGCAAGAGATACAGCCGCGCGAATAGACTTTTTAGAGGTTAAATGACACGAAAATTACGATGGTCACATTAAAAAAGTCTGAAATACACTCCTTACTGCGCAATTTGCGTTGTCAGGAACGCGCTTTTTCAAATTTCCCGCGTCTGGGGGCAGTTTTCTAATCACCGGAAACGAGCAAACGGCGGGCTCGGTGATTTCCGGAAGATGCCGAGTCGTTGTTGTTGTTGTTATTTTTTCCTTCAGTTTGTTTACAAACCCAACGTGATCTCTTATAGTGGTCCATATACGCTTTATGCGGTAACCAAATCGATCAACTTTTAAATATCCAACGCAATCCTTCTACATTTCATTTCACGATATCACGAGCTCCGATTTTTAGGTTATGTTGTCAGTTTTAGTTGACCGGAAATAGCCGCGAGTTGCCGTTAATTGTTTCCGTTAGAAAACTGCCCCCAGACGCGGGAAATTTAAAAAAGCGCGTTCCTCACAACGCAAAATGCGCAGTAAGGAGTGTATTTCAGACTTTTTTAATGTGACCATCGTAATTTTCGTGTCATTTAACCTCTGAAAAGTCTATTCGCACGGCTGTATCTCTTGCATGCAACAGGCCCATTGAAGAATGGAGGAGATATGACAAAATGATCTACTCTGCTGAACTATATGTGTTTAATTGAGAATAGGCGCCAGATGACGTCACTAGGCGGTACATATTTCCGTTTGTAAATCTATTTTTATACTATTTCCTATTCCAGAAAGAAAATCATAAAAAATACTGAAAAATCAGCTCTTTAAGCACTCTCAGATGAAGCAATAAAAATACTTGCGTTCTAATTCTCCATTTAGCTGTTGATTTCCGAAAAAGCTCATTTGTGAAATAATAATAGTAAAAAGTATGCAGACAAAAGTAATTGACCGTTTGATTTGGCTACTTAATGTGCTTGAATTGTGCATAATAGCACAGCGGCACAATCATTTTTGCAATAATGTGCAAAAATTATTCTGACGTTGACAATATGGTGAACTTCGGCTCCGGGAAGTTCAGAGCGCCTACAATGTTTGGATATGCAACACGGACATCCATCTGGCACGAATAGTTGTATCCATAGGCGTTGACTTGAAGCAACGCATAGCATTATTTCAAATCTCTAGATATGTAACATGGACTTTCATTGAGAATGGGTGTGTTTAGTGTTGTGTTTTAGCCTTGTTTCCCGTTTTACCCTCTTGTTTTACTCTTGTTCTACACCCTGTTTCCGTGTTTGCATGGCTACAAATACATATGTACCAGCAAGTATTTTTGAGTGAAATACAGCCCTAAATCACAAAGTAAGAAGGAGAAGAAGGCGAGGGAAGTCCTACTCAGTGCATTCTTCACCCTTGATTGGGATGTTCGAAGACCAGTGACGTCGCGTGAATGATCGATTATCGATTCTTACCCATTTGACGCTGTGCTAAAGAATCGAGTATTAAGGTGTTCGTTGCGAACGCCCTGTTTATCGATCCTTATCCATAGGTTTAAATGGCATATCAATCGATATATCGCAAAGCACGCCGCGCCACTGTCGAAGACACACCTCAGCAGAGAGTAAACCAAATTAATAGGACTACTCGTCTACACTGCCGTGCTAAGGAAGAACGCCGTATGAACATTCGAGAGTTGCCAAATTTCCCCGAATAAAACATGTATTTTTGATAAAATTTATGCTGATTTTCCTTTGATATTTTCAGATATTTTAGATTCAATTGCGAGCAAAATAGTCCAAAAAATTGGAAGAAAAATATTTACAACTTCCGCAATAAATTCGTAGTTTATCAGAGGAAATGTGGCAACGCCTGAAGGTTTATACGGCGTTTTTCCTCAGCGCGGCAGTACAATCCTCACTTCATTTCCTCGGGTGCATTTAAATTGAATCCCGGCCAGGGGCGGCGGACGACGAAAAATCAAAAGTGAAAACGAGAGGGCGGGAGTGAAAACAGAACAAGGGCGGAAGGGAGGTTGCCAGATTGTGCCATTAAATTGAGATATTTTACATGGATTTAAGCGGGGCACGCTGCCGCACAATGCAAAAACTCAGTAAACGTCATTTTAATTTAGTTGGAAACAACGTATCATAGCAAAAAAACTTGTGTACCTTGAGACAACGTTCTTACAGAATTCTTTCGCAAATGCTTTCAAGAACTTCACCTGAAAATTTGAGGCGGATGGGTAAAACAACTTTTATTTTATAAAGTGTTAAGTTTCAAAAACCGCGGGAAAATCTTGAAGGATTTACGGCGTTCTTGCTCAGCACGACAGTACGGTGCTGATTTTTCAGCACAATTTGGCAACAATGGGCGGAAGGGAGGAGGAGGGGGCTTCGGAAATGAGGCAAATGAATCGGTCCATGTCGAAACCCCGCAAGACCTCTCACCGAAGACCTCCGAAACCCGTTAGAACACTCACTCTTCGAGCGTCGTCGGATGATGGACATGCGAGGTTTCAGAAACACAACGCTCAAATGTCGGATTCAGGAGCCTTCTCTCGCGTCTTCCGCGCTCCTCCGACGCAAGGGCGTGCCTCGATCCCTACGTGAGCCCCAGGAAGCATTAAGATACACGTAATACAGGGCTCATATCAAAATTGAGATACGTCCTTGCGTCGGAGGTCTGAAACGGCACGGTCCAAGATAATACGTGGCGTCAGGCTCCCTTTGTGAATAGGCTAGAGTCCCCCTTCCCCCCCCCCTCCCTCGCCCTTTTCCGACCCTCCCTGGTCCCTGAGAATCCTTTCCCTTTGCTGTGGGCTTTCTCATTTTATCTGTTGTTCTTCTCGCAAGCCCAGAGAGCCCACTCCCCCTTCGCAACCCTTATCACCTCCATTTCTGTCTGCGAGCTCTTCGAGTCAACTTCCAACAGACTTTTGCCGTGTTGCGACTTTCGGCGCGGCTCTGATTGACCGCTTGAAATCCAAGAGATATACTGCCGTGCTGAGGAAAAACGCCATATGAACCTTCAGGTGTTGCCAAATTTCCTTTGATAAATCACGAATTTCCTGGTAAACTTATGAATATTTTCCATCCAATTTTTCGGATAATTTGTTTTGAAATTTTACATGAGGTTCCCGAAAATTTCAAGGAACGATATTCATAATTTTCCGCAAAAATAACATTTTATCGAAGGAAATTTGGCAACTCTCAAATGTTCACCGAAAAAAAATCTCCGTGTATTTACCAAGAAAAGGGTAAAATTACCAAGTATTCAGGGTTCTATTTGATCCCAGTTTTTTCTTGGTAAAATTGCCATTTATGGAATTGGTAATTTTACAGAGAAATCTCGGTAAAATTATTGACTTTCTCGGTAATATTACTGGACCTCGGTAAAAACGCCAATATTTTTTATCAACTGTGATAGAATTATCGAGATAAAATGGCAAAGTTACCGGGAATTGATTACCAATAAAAGTGGTATTCTTACCTGAGAAAAA